GCAGGAGGGCCCAGCTTCCTGGGTCCGTTGTGATCCCAGTGAGGCCCAGGCCCAGAACACACTGGAAGGGGACCCGTGTTCACAGTGAGGAGCCTGCGCCACCCTACTGTCTGCTGGGCCGTTGGCGGGAGGGGAGAGCTCGCGCCGCCCGCCTCAGAGGCTTCCGAGCTCCGATCCCTGGGGCTCGTGCAAGAGCAGTGCCGTAGCTTACCCTTGCACGAGCCCTTCCACTTCCGGGCTGGTGACCGCAGGGCCCCTCCCACAGCCCCCTCCCGTCCTGCTTGCAGATGGAGATGCTCAGTCCCTTCGAGGCAGTGGGCGAACGCTTCCAGGAGCAGTACAGGACGCTCGCCACGGCCCTGGACGCCACCCGGCACGAGCTGCCCGTGAGGGCGATCCACCTGGAGGGCGACGGGCAGCAGTTCTTAGGTAGGAAACGGGCTCCGGCTGCGTTGCCAGGCTGCGCGGTGAGGAGCGCGTGCCAGTGCTTCCCGTGGGCCTGACGTGGTCGTGACAAGTGTGCTTTCCCGTCTAGTGGCAGAGGATGGTGGGGACCGGCCAGGCTGTGGTTCCTCCAGGGTCTTGCCCTGAGTAAGCGACTTTTGGGATTTGTCCAGGGCTGTGGGATTCACAGTGATCTCCTGTCCTGCCGAAAGGCATTCTTGCGGGGCCGGCCTGCAGTCCCTGGGCCCTACACGTGCGAATCGGTGGCTGGCGGGGCTGCAGGGCCACCGGCCCACCGTGGTCTGCCCGCTCCGCAGAGCGGTGAGGTCCTTTCTGTGCACGGGTTTCCTGCCTGGCCCACTGGAAGCCCTTGGCAAGTGTGAAAACTGCCACGCCCGAGCCCCAGCCTCTTTCAGAACAGGGTGTGCTCCTGGAGAGGGTTTCCGCTGCCCGGAGCCTGGGTGTTCCTAGGAAGAGCTCTCCTGCGTCATCTCAGTAGGCTTTGCCTGAGGCTGTCGCGGTAGAGCGCGGTGTGTGAGGCGCACAGGGGCTTCCCCGCGCCCGGCCGGCAGCGCATCGAAGCAGAGTGAAGCGCCGGTCCAGGGTCCCAAAGGGTGTTGCTCGATCGGCAGCCGAGGGCAGAAAGGTTGTGAGTCGAGTTTTTTCCAGTGTGACACGGTCTAGGCATGACGCTGAACTTTGGAAAACGAGCCAAGTTGTAAAGAAAAAAGTGACATTTGTGGGCAATGTCGCGGTTTGTCCGTTGGCGTGTTTTCTTTCCATGTTAGCGCAGCACGGTGTGCACGTAAACAGACTCGACATCGAGCCACACGTGTCGCGGTTTCCCACTTACTGCGTGCACGCTTCTCTGTTGCACGTCGTTGTGAGAAGGGCATCATGGCCACATGACTCATCGCACGGGCGTGTGCAACTTGCCCTCGGTGGATGCTTGTCAGCGTCCGGGTTTCTGGTTCTGTGGCGACTGCAGCCCCTTCCGCGGCCGTAACTCTCGGGCTCCGTCCCTGCTAAGCCGCGTGGGCATTGCCAGGAGCGGGACTAGCGACTCCATGCATTTGCTGCGGCTGCCGCAACAAGATTGGCCCGCTGTTGGCGGCTGCGCTGTTTAGAGGCTCCTAGTTCCCCTTGGGGTTCAGCTCCCAGGGCGAGCCGCTCTCCCCACAGACCCTGCGTGGTACGGGAGCGGCCAGCAGGGGTCGCTGTTGTCCGTGTTGTGGACAAAGTCTCAGTCCAGGAGCACCTGGGGCGTCTTAGGTCCCCTTCTCCCTTGCTTTGGAGTTGGTTCTGAGGGAGTGGGGGCGCTGGTGCCTTGGGGACCAGAGAGGTTGCAGGGCGGGCCCCAGATTCCCAGTGTGAAGGTCGAGCGAGACAGGGAGGAGGGGATGGCAGGAGAACTCACACCCGGCTCTGGAAAGTCCGGGAAGTTCTCAAGCAGCCAGAAGAGAAAGGGCCTCACCCCTCACCCACCCTGTCCCAAGAGTAGCCAGCACAGCACAGGCGCCCTCGGGTCAGTGCTGTTTGGGTTCTAAATGTCTTCCAGGGTCAGGGTTTGAGAGTGTGTTTTTGAGCTCTTTATTGAAGTATAAATACACACGGCAGACACAGATCCTAAGGGACCGCTGAATGGCTGTCACAGAGCCTGTGCCCTTGTGGGACCAGCCCCTAGATCTGACACAGCCCGTGACCAGCCCCCCGAAATCCCTCACGACCCCTTCTTTTCACCGCCCCCAGGCAATTTCTAACTATGGGCTTTTGCACCTCTTCCGGAAAAGAATCTTGTTTTCTCCTCCTTACAAGGCTCGATCTGTCTCCCGAGATGCCTGAAATATCTGGAAAGGACTCATGAGACACAGCTGCCACCTGTCTTCAGCTCTGGCCTGTCTTCTGTGGGTGGTTGCAGGACAAAGTCAGGGCACACCGAAGGTTTGCAGATGGCAGGGGTCACAGCTTTGAGCGGTTAAACACGCAGGCGTCACACACTTCTCCACCGCCATGTGAGTGGCACGGAGGGGCGGACTTTATCCTGTTCGCAGCTGTCCCTCCTGCTCCTGAGACAGACGTGCCCGGCGGTCTTGGTTTCCTGTTGCTTCTAACAATCACTGAAACGGGGTCATTGATAAAGACAGGGAATTTATTTCTTATGGTTCTGGGGACTGAGAATGTCGAAGGGTCACATCTGGTGATGGCCTTCTTGCTGGTGGGGACTCTGCAAGGCGGTGGTGACATAGGACATCCCGTGGCGAGGGGCTGAGTGTGCTGGCTCAGTTCTCTCATAAAGCCACCAGCCCCCCTCCCGTGATACCCCATTAATCCACTGATTCACGAGTGACAGGGTCCTCGTGACCCAGTCACCTGTTAAAGGCCCCACCTCTCAGCGCCCCACGCTGGGGATTGCGTGTCGGCATGAGTTTGGAGGGGACAGATGTTCAAACCGTAGTACCAACCATAGTGCTGATGCGTTCTGAGTATTTCTTGACCCAGTGAGTCGTCTTTCATGCCGGCCTGGTACCGTCTTAGGAGTTTCCCTGATTGAGTCTTCTCCGCCCAACCCTGTTCCCCGCGCTCCCCCACCGAGCACACAGGCGACGTGGAACCCCCCACCCCATGCCGCAGCCCTTCCTTCACCACTGAGGGGCTCTGCTTGCACCTGGCGCTCAGAGAGTGAGGCCTCCACTCCTCCTCTCGCCCCACAGGAGCTTCGCCCAGGTGCTGGAACTCTCCGCCGAGGCGAGCAAAGAGGCCGCCTTGATAAACCAGGGCGTCTGGGAGGAGGCCCAGGGCCTGGCGACCCCCAGCCAGTGGTACTTCAGCGAGGACAGCACCTGCGAGGAGTCCCAGGGAGCAACTAAGAGCGCAGCCCTGCCGGGGGACAGCACGCCGCTCGCCCCGTGAGTCCACGCTCACGCCGCGCTCACCAGCCCGAGCGGAGACCTTCCTCCAGGCAGACGAGAAGAAAGCCTGCTGTGCCTGTGTGCCAGCGGGGTCTGCAGTGACGCGTCGGTGACATTCAGGACACTCGAGCACTTGATACACTACCTTGTTGGGTACTTAAAATAAACCCGTTTGCAACTGGAGCCTTCGCTCTCTATGCAGGGGAGGGTTGGAAGGCCCGTGTTGTCTCAGGTTCCTGTGAGCGGCTGATCCTGGGCCTTGGGACCTCCAAGACATGACAGCGTGCCGCTGTCAAGATGATTTCTCGTCCTTCCGCCATGAGAGTGGTTTTGATGACTCTGATAGCAAGACAGGGATTGGCTGACAAGTGGACAGTTCTCGGTCCCAAGTTCCAGTAGTTGTTGCTGGGAGGTGCTTGCAGGCTGGGGCTGGGGCCCAGAGAATTCTTCCAGGCAGCTCTCCAGCTTCTTCCCTGCTCTGTGTGGGCTCAGGGGTCTCACTGGTCCTCATCGCACTTTCCAGTTACTCGTGCATGAGGGCAGATGTCTGCGCCTCTGACTGACATCTCCAGGTGGGGGAGACAAACACGGGTCACACCCCATATGCACCCCCATCCGACATTCAGGTAAGAGATGCACGTCTTCGCCTCAAGTGGTTTGGGCATACGGTTTGGGTCTGGACTTTCACCTTAATGCCACCAACCGTCAGGGTCCCCGCTGTGGCCTCTGCGAGGGCTTCAGCAGCAGGTGTGGTTTTGCCATGGTGGATCGGGGAGAGGAGACACAACTGCAATTTCCATCCAAGCCTCCACCCCAAACCCATCGTCTTAATCTGTTCAGGCTGCTAGAATGAAATGCCACAGACTGGGTGGCTTATTATCAACAAGAGAAGTTGGGTTTCTCACAGTTTTGGAGGCCAGGAGTCCCAAGTTCAAGGTGCTGGCAGATTTGGTGCCTGGTGAGGCCTGCTTCCTGACTGGCCGCCTTCTGTCCGTGTCCTCATGTGGTGGGAAGAATGAGGGAGCTCTCTGGGGCCTCTTTTAAGGGCACTACTTCCATTCAGGAGTGCCCCCCTCGTGACCTAACCACCCCCCAAGGCTCCACCTCCTAATCCCATCACCTTTGGGGGCCGGGTTTCCAGCATAGGAATGTGGGTGGCGGACACACACGCAGACCACAGCACCCACCAACCCCACATTTCTGTGTCCTCTCACGCCAGGGCTAACCTAAAGCCGCCTGGGTCTAGGAATCCTGGAAACTGTTCTGCGCACTTGACTTTATTCCCACTCGTGAGCTTTGAGGAAGCTTTGAGTTCACAGCAGGGGCTGAGCCGAGGGACCTTGGCCCTTTTGTCATTCTTTCTCTGGATTAATCTGATTATTGCCCATGATGATTCCAGGTGTGGTTACACATTGTAATCTCTGCCTTCCAGGTTTTCAAATTTCTACAAACTGGAGTAAATATAGCAGACTTGTTGGGGCTGTTTCAAATATTGAAGGACCCTGGATGGTCCCTTCAGTTCATCCAGCCTTCCAAAGTGCTGTCTCAAGACCCTTGTTTCAACCCTGGGAATGTCCATGCCAAGGGTTTTAGGAACCCTGTGCCAGGAACTGTGGACAAAGACCAAATATTATATATTTTTTATTATACTACAAGGACATCATTAAACCCACTTAGATAAAAAGGAGCCAGGCGCAGTGGCTCCCGCCTGTAATCCTAGCAATCTTGAATGCTGAGGTAGGAGGATCCCTTGAGGCCAAGAAGTTCAAGACCAGCCTGAGCAAGATCGAGACCTCATCTCTACAGAAGATAGAAAAATTAGTCAGGCATGGTGGTGCATGCCTGTAGTCCCAGCTACTCGGGAGGCTGAGGCAGGAGGATCACTTGAGCCCAGGAGTTGGAGCCAGGGGAGTTTGGGCTGCAGGTGAGCTATGATTGCACACTTGCACTTCCAGCCTGTAGTTTGACAGAGCAAGACTCGTGTCCTCATAAAAAAAAAAAAAAATGTGTGTGGTAGCCTCTGTTGAGTCCCAAAGTGTTATGCTAGCACTTCTGGTCCTAGATTGACCCATACAAAGAAGCAAAGCAGGTTTCAGGTTTCCAGAAAACTAGAAAAACACCTGTTGTTTTAAACAGTGAGGATCGTCCCGGAAGCAATGTTACGACGAAATGGCAGACTTTATGTCCCAGGGCAAGGCAGCCTATCAGGACAGCCAGGGTTACGGGGCAAGATTCCGGAGCGATGCTGTAAGTCAAACCCGGGAACTCACTTAGAGCCTGATGTCCTGCTCTCCGCTTCGTCTGAATGGGCACTGCCACATGGCTCACATTGTTTAGGGGACCTTCATCGTATCGTAGTCTTTTACTTCCAACTCTAGGGCCCTAGAATCTCCCTGTCTAAGCCAGGCACTGCATGAGGACCAACAGAAGTAGGGGCTGCTAACAGAGACCCTCAAGACCCACAGTGGAACAACTGGACACATGGCGTTCCGGAGGCTGACATGCTTCATCCGGCTGGAATTGTAAGGGTTTGATCTTTAGATAAGGATCAGCCTCATGGGCTCCACCACCACGTTTCCAAGGGCTGTCGTGCCTGGCATGAGGCCCATGACCCACCCCTCAGGGTGGACGAAGGACCCACTGCCTCAACATGCTCGACGCACACATCTCGTGACACACCCTGGCGCGTGGGGGCCTCGATGCACCCTGGGGAGGGGGCTACGTCAGTCCCACCGTGCGCGACAGGGTAGGTGAGGAAACACAGGCAGACTCCTGTGTTTTTATTTCAGTTTCGCACCTGGCACGGCATGAACTTTGGGCAGACGGGGCGAGACAGACCAAAACTAGACCCTCTGGAACTCATAACTGACACCCTGGTGTGTGTTTGGCGCTCTGTGCTTTCTCACGTTCTCTGCTGTTCAGAATCTGGGCAAATTGACTTCCCCCTGTGAGCCTCCATATCTCCTCATGTAAATGCGCAGTGTTAGGAGCTCAACTTATGTTCCCCAGCAACACAATATGTTGA